GACGGCTCGCCCTGAGCCGGGGGCGAGGGCAGCCCTCCCTATTTTTAATATTTTTGAGAACTGCACAAGTGTTTTCCATAAAGGCAGTAACACTTTGCATTCCCACTAACAGTATGTAATAATTCTAGTTTCTGCATCCTCATTAACATAGTTTTCTGTTTTAAGTAATTTTTTGTTGTTAGGCTCTTGTTGGTTATATAATTTTCAAAGATACTCTCCTAGTTGGTAGCTTGTCTTAACACTTTTTTAGTAAAAATTTTTGACACCTAAAAATTTCAGATTTTGTGATGACCTATTTTTTATTTTGTTAACAAAGATTCTTCTTTCCTGGTCAGATGGATCTAACATCCTTGTCATAAATCATTTGATCATAGATCCATGGGTTTTTTTTCCTTTTTATTCAGCTAGAGTTAAGGCTAGAATTGAGAAAAAAAGGGAATCCCAGAACACTTAATTGTGCTCATTCAAAATCTACATCTGTATTAGGAAGCTGTTGTCCAAATAGAGCAAGGCAATGCTGTATAATTTTAAACCAGGAAAGGTGTACATCAGAGTTGTATCCTTTCTCCCTGTTGATTCAATCTGTACACTAAGCAAATCATTAGAGAAGTGCTTGCTCAAAGTGAAGATGACTTGAACTGCCTGTTACAGAAGATCAAAAAAGACTATAGTCTTCAATATGGATTACATTTAACATCAAGAAGACAAAAATCCTTACCACTGGACCAACATCATGATATATGGAGAAAAAAGATTGACATTGTCGACAGTTTCATCTTGAATCCACAGTAGACATCGTTAACTTTGGTAACAGCTGTGTAATCAGGCAATGTATTGCATTGGGCAAGTCTACTGTTAGGGACTTTTCCAAATAAGTGGGGAGCATCTGATTCATGTCATGCTCTTTTCATCACTTGCTATGCATCTGAGGCTGGACAGTGAGTAAGAATAACAGAAAAAGAATTTATGCATTTGAATTATGACATTGGAGAAGACCATGGAATAGCCAGCCCATGGACTACCAAAAGAACAAACAGAAAAATCATGGAAAATGTAGCCAGAGTGCTCCTTAGAGACAAGAATGGTGAAATTTCATCTCACATATTTTGGGCATGTTGCCCAGGACATTATGCTTGGAGAGGTGGAGGGTCAGTAAAAGAGAGGAAAACGCATCTGGTGATAACTGCAGAGAAAAACAGTCTTAGACTTGACTGAATGTTTAAAATGAGAGATGTAACTTTTGGTAAATTTGAGTGAAAATTTACAAATCTATTCGTTTTCCCAAGGAATAACCTTAGTTTTTCAACCAATACACATTTTGCTTTATTGCAATTGATTAATCCAGTTAATGACAGTGTCTCAAACTCATTAGTCATTACAGAATTGACTCATAGCTGACCTTTCAGCAGGTTTTCA